CACAGCTCTTATCCTAGGCTCACACTTGATCATCATCCTTGGGGGTTCTCTTTAACTCCTCTATTAGACAGTCTGCTTCCCTTACTCTATGGATTCTTCTTTTGGTTCACTCTCTTATTTTGATAGAGCCTGGTTTGCAGTGTCTTTCTAAATAAGGTAGGACGCACAAGGGGGAAGTATTTGGGGACTTTGCATGTATAAAAATGTCTTCCTTTCTGAAGTTTGAAGATGTTGCTCCATTGCCTTTTAAAAATTATTTTATTTTTATTAATTTTAGAGAGAGAGGAAGGGAGAGGGATAGAAATATCCATGAGAGAGACACATCAATTAACTGCCTCCTGCACACACCCTCCCCCACAGGGGATGGAGCTCATAACCCAGGCATGTACTCCAACTGGGAATCAAACCAGGTACCTCTTGGTTCATGGGTTGATGCTCAACCATTTAGGCACATCAGCCAGACTCCATTGCCTTTTTGTTTGCAGTTGGAAATGTTAAGTTTGAAAACATGTCAGATGCTTCTTTCTAAAAACCAGTTGCATAGAAAAAAATTCAGTCTTCCTGTGTTTTCTTTTATTCTTACACACTCACACTTCAGAAACCAGCTGTGCGGATTTTTTTTTTCTCACATCAATAAGCACTTCTGTGATAACAGCTGGGTGTCCTAGCATTTAAATTAATTCTGACACATCCGGCTGGCATGGCTCAGTGACCTATGAACCAGGAGGCCAGTTTGATTCAGTTAGGGCATTTGCCTGGGTTGAGGGCTTGATCCCCAGTGTGGGGTGTGCAGGAGGCAGCTGATCAATAATTCTCTCTCATCATTAATGTTTCTATCTCTCATTCCCTCTCCCTCTCTAAAATAAAAAAATATATATTTAAATAAATTAATTAATTCTGACACTATCTACCTGGATAGCATCAGATTCCCCCAGGTTAAGGGCTCAGTCCCACAAGATTGCTCTCCCCTGACTTTAGATGCCAATTGCAAGTCCAGATTGTCACCTGTGCTTTTGACCAAGCAGCTACAAATGGAGATTCCCACATTGCCCTCCTTGGGTTGATTTGATTCGCTAGAGTGGCTCAGAGGACTCAGGAAAACTTACTGCTTACCAGTTTACTATAAAAGGATATGGTAAAGGATACAGGTGGACACTCAGAAGGAAGAGATATCTAAAGGGCATGGAACTCTTTGCACTCTGGATGCACTACTCTCCCAGCACTTCCATGTGTTCACCAACCTGGAAGCTCTCTGAACCCTGAACTAGTGGGATTTTTATGGTAGCTTCATCATGGAAGCATGATCAAACCTAAACTCCATTTCCAGTCTTTCCCCTTTCTGGAAAATGGAGGAATGGGACCAAGCTTTTAAACATGACTTGGTCTTTCTAGTCACCAGCCCTGTCAAGGAGTCACCTCATTAGAATGAAAGACACTCCTACCACCCAGGAAATTCCAAGGGATCTAGGAGCCCTGTGTCAGTAACAGGGATCAAAGACCAAATATTAGAACAAAAGATGCCCCAAGTGCTCTTTAATACTTAGGACAGGGGTGGGAACCTTTTTTCTGTCAAGGGCCATTTGGGTATTTATAACATCACTTGTGGGACATACAAAATTACCAACTTAAAAATTAGCCTGCTAGCCTGGCCGGTGTGGCTCACTGGTTGAGTGTCAACCCATGAACCAAGAAGTTGCAGGATCATTCCTGGTCAGGGCACATGCCAGGGTTGTGGGCTTGATTTCCTGTAGGGGGTGTGCAGGAGGCAGCTGACTGATGTTTCTCTCATCGATGTTTCTATGTCCGTCTCCCTTCCTCTCTAAAAATCAATAAACATTTTTTCCCCAATTGAATTTACCATTTTTCAGGCTTGTTCACTGATGGGACATGTGGACTAAAGTACAAAAGCTTGGAACTGGAGTTTTAAAATATATTTTTATTACAGACCCAATGCACAAAATTCGTGCAAGAGTAGGCCTTCCTTCCCCTGGCTGTGGGCACCACTTCCCTCTGGCACCCGGGACCTGGGCTTCCCTCACAGCCCCGGCTTTGTCCAGAAGGTTGCCTGGAAGGATGTCCGGTCTAATTAGCATAGTGTGCTTTTATTATTATAGATTGATTGCAGAGAGGAAGGGAGAGAGAAACATCAATGAAAGAGGATCATTGATCAGCTGCCTTGAACAAAGCATCAGCTCTTGACCTGACAACCCTTTCAGGATGACAAAAAAGCATCTCTCAGGCCACAAAGGAGAAAATACAAGTTTACTTACTGTTAACATCTCAGGAAATAGTGCTGTGAATATTTTGTACCTTTCTTTAAAAAGTTCTTTATTGTTGAATGTGTAACATATGTCTCCTTTTTCCACCATTGGCCTCTCCCCACCTGTTCCCACCCAGCACATGCCTTCACCCCCCTACTGTCTGTGTCCATTGGTTATGCTTATATGCATGCATACAAGTCCTTTGGTTGATCTCTTACTGCTGGGGTCTTTTCCGCATCTACAAGGGTTCAAGGAATCTGGAGAAGGGGCTGTGCATAAATGAATGAAGAGACTAGAGACGAAATATGAATTTGGAAGGCATTTTGGGGTACCAGATGGAAACTTAGTTCTAGTGACTGAGCTTCCCCAATCTCTGGACCCAGGGCTTTTTATTCACACATTTTACTCTCTAGCAAAGCAGATACACATATCAAAGGTAAGGTTTGGTAAACAGTAAAGGACCATCAGGTTGGGGGAATTGCAGATTTTCAGCCCTGCTGAAAGAGTCCATTCAATCTTTTGAGGACTTCTCGCATTTATTATGACCCGCTGGACTTAGCCTCCAGCAACTTACATCTCCCTGCCCCCTGCCCCCCTTAATCCCCGGCCTTCTCTCTAAGGTTTGTCAGTCTGTTCGATGCTTCTATGTTTTTGTGTATATATTTGTTCATAGAGCAGGACTCCCTTCAGCAGGGCTTCGGTGCCAGCTGAGTCTTTCCCTTGAGTGTGTTGCTGGTAGAGGAGGTTGGGGGCAGCTCCAGTGTAATCTGAAGATGTCTATTGGGTGACTTGGCTCAGGGGCCTACTGGGAGGTGCAGACCAAGATCAGCCACTGCCTGTGCCCTGTCCAGGGCCAACTGCAAAGCGAGCTGCACGTGGCTGCCACTTGTGCTGGCCTTGGAGGTGTCTGGGAGAGGCCAAGCTGTGAGCTGAGACCAGTTGCTGCTAGTCCCAGGCGTAGCACTAAACAAGAGGTACAGGGCATGCTGAGGCCACATGCTGCTTGTTGGGGTTTGTGGGCCTTTGAGAGATTTTAGGAAAGTCTGCTGCATTAGCCAAGACAGGCTGTGTGTATTGAAATGCCACTGGAAGCAGCTTGGGTGGGTCCACAAGTTGGGTGGGCTGGGCTCTCGGGGAACCACCAGGGCAAGGTGTGATGTTAGCCAGGAAGGTAGAGACTCAGATATGGCCCTGGATCTGTGAAGGGGGGGGGCTCAGCGAAGGAACAATGGCCTCTTCCACCACTTCTGTCTGGGAGAAAGCTGCCCCTCCAACCCTCGCCTTGAAGCCAGACAACTCAGTTCCTCCCTTATGTCCCTGGTGCCTTTCCAGCTGCTGCCCCAGCACTGGAGCTCAGAGGGAGTGAATCTAAGTAAGTCTGTGTGCTGGCCCTTTAAGAGGGACGCCTGGGTTTCCAGCCACCTTGTCTCACTCAGCCACAATCTCCACTGGTTTTCACATCCAGAAGTTATGGAGAGTTCTCTTCCCAGCACTGGAACCCTGAGCTGGAGATCCTGGTGTGGAGCTGGGACTCCTGGATTCACAGGGGACCTTCCGCAACAGAGATATCCATCTGTTTTTTTAACTGTATGTGTGGGTGTGGGATCCTTCTGTTCCTTACCTCCACCTCTCCCACCAGGCTCAGATGTGGGTTCTCTGTCTATCTTAGTTATAGGACTTCTGTTCAGCTAGACTTCAGGTTGCTCTCAGTGATGGTTGTTTATGGTTTTAGTTGTGATTTGATGTAGTTTTGTGGGAAGATGCAAGTGCCGAGGTTACCTACTCAGCCACGTTGCTCAGAAGCCTCAGGTTTTTCTTTAACCAGTATCTGAACCCACCACATCTTGACAGATGCTTTAAAGGGTTAATTTTAGATAATAAATCACTTGTTCCCAGTAAACACCACTACAGCATGCAGAGTTCCAGGCGACTATAGCAGCACATGCTAGGTGAATAACAGCTAACTTTTCCACTTAAAGGCATGGTTGTTTGCCTTGGGAATAGGGTCACTGTACATTTCTCCAATAGAAAAATATCCCTGGTCCAGGGCGTGGCCAGCAATTGAAATGTCAGTGCATTCCCACCTGGTGAGCATAAAGAAACCTCTAGGATTGGATCTTACTCTTTTGAGCACCAATATTTTTTTAGTTTAGCTTTCTTTCATGAATAATAAAACACACTTTCCTGCTTTATTAAAAAAAATATCCTTGGTGAGGATTAAAAAAATAATCTTATTCTTTTACCTAATTAAGGAAATATATAATTTATATTAAATGAAGTTTTAATAACTTTAAATATTTTATTAGAAGAGACGACTATTAAGAGGGTTAAATCTAAGTAATCATTACTATTAGCAAAACAAGCTCAGTAAAAACATTAAGCCATGGATGAAATTATATAGCACTGCTTATAACTGTCTATCTTTCACTGTAAGTTTTACACTTGTCCTATCTTTCTCAGCTACATTAGCAAGGCTTTTACTGGGATGGTAATGGAGAGTAAAAACATAAAGCCAAATGCAAAAGGAACAATAGTATTAAATAGTTTAGCAGCAAATTTACATACAGTACACTTCAATTTGAACTCTGCTCTTTTGAATGGTAAGTACGCTGAAAGCCTCAATGTGTCTGTGAAGCTGAATCTTGGTGTGTGTATAAAAGAATGATGTTCACAAATAATACACTTGAAGTATGTTACAATTATGTTTATTAAGCCAAAGTAAATTTTTTATAAAGGATCAGGCTGGAAATGCTGCATATATTTTAAACAAATTATTTTAAGATGTAAACCATCACATTTTTTACTAAAACTGAACAAGCTGTTAAAACTGCTACAGTATATCACGACCAACCTTTCCATAACTATTTTAAACAGATATGCATTGTAGAGAAAGCAAAGGAAACAGTCAAAGTAGCAAAACTATATTCATAGGAGTCAGCCAAAACCATAGTTCTTTTGTTTGTCCCTCATTCCCAAAAGGAGCTACACTACTGAGTGAAGAAATTTTCCAGCTGCATATTGAGGTCACAAATGCAGCTTTAAAGGATTGCCCTGGAGACTATAGCTTTTGCAGGCAATCATATACAAATAAATTACATTAAAATAAAACTGGATAGTGTTTTGTTATTTTAACACCGAACTGAATGGTGGACTGAAATCAACAGAAGAGACAGAAAATCCAGCTCAAGGCTCACTTTCTCTAAAATGGTAGTGCCATTCTAGTTTTATTGATGCATTAATTTTCATAAAGTGCAGTGACAAAATAAATAAGATGAAAGAAGCTTTGAGATTAAGATAACTTATTGCTTATATTCTTGATGGCCTTTTACCTCTGTGGAAGCTGTAACCATATATAAAAGCTCACTGATCCAGGAAAAACGATTCCCCCCCTTAAGTAAATCATATTAAGGAATATATAATTACGGCAGCTTTTTCTATAAGACAGGGTTAGCTTAAAGGGCAAATTTACGTGCTATAGACTAAATCCAGACACGGTCAAGTGCTGAGCATTATTTCTGGCTTCAAAATACGATGTGTCTGTTTCGCCATCTGGTTGGGGTATGAAAGGCATAGGTTGATGCTGTAGATTTTCCCAGTCCACATCGCTGAAGAGAGGATGATGTTTCAACTCTTCGGAAAAATAGAAAACAAAATGAAATAATATGACACCATTACCTAAGCAAGTACTGTTCTATCGGAATGAAGAAGAGACACTCTCACATGTACTTTGCCCTACTTTATTATGTCACTTTCATAGGCATTTGTTTGTCTGTCTCTCTATTTACCCACATTCTTTTCAATGACACACACTGTGTCATTTTGTGTACCACTTGGTATAGGACAGGTGCCTGATCTGTATTTGTCAAATGAGTGATTGAATGATTTGTCTTAACAGAAGTCTTTCTCATTGCCTGCATCTTCTCACAAAATCCCTGACTTGAAGAGAGCGAGTGCGCTCTACTTCCTGATCCCCATACAGCTTCCAAACCACTCATCTTCCTGATTCATGTCCCATTCTCATCCCAAGTCTTTGCCACCTCGTCACAGCTCTGCAGTCCTTAGCACTACCTATGGCCCTAGATAACTTCAGCAAGAAGCTCATCTCCACTCCCTTGCTGTCTGGGCTGGCTCCATCCTTATCTGTCCTGGTGATTTCAGCATGTACATGGATGACACTTCTGACACATTTTTATTATGGTTCTTTGACTTCCTTGATATCACGGACTCGCACCTTCACAAAACACTAACTATCCAGCAGGATGATCATCTTTCCTATTACATTCTA